GGCAATATCTCTGTGTTTGTACATTATAAATTTTGTAATAATTATTGTAGTTATTTCAAAATTATAGAGATGAGATAAAAAAAACCCTATATGTAATAATAATTTCTTTATTTTAAAAGTTCAAATATGAAATTTTGAAGTTTTTCCTGTTTTTTCGTAAAAAATTTTTCAAATTAAGGCCATGGCATTGGTATTATGAAAGTATAGGGCAATTTTATTATAATTTCCCTCTTTACCAAAATGATTAGAGAAAATTTATTAGACCTTGAATAAAATGCATTCACTTTAAAAAACGAGTAGTTATTTTATAAATTTAATTCAATTTGCCTCAAGTAGATGTACTAGTTTCTTAATGTATGTAAAGCAAATAAATTACTAACGGTGATTTTCAAATCTCACAATAACGGTAACACGTTAATGAAATAAGAAAATTTTGAAATTTCTACATTAACTTTTGATTTATGAACTAGCGATAGGGTACATAAATTTTTAATATTTAAAAATTTGGGGTCATTTGCTGCCGAACGAAATGAATTTCTTAAAGTAAAACTTTTATTACTTGCGATTTAATTGCGTTTGAGGAAATCTCTTGAAAATTTTTTGTAACAGTTTTTTTTTTTTTTTTTTATTTCGGGTCTTGTATAACATTTGCTTAATGTGAGGCTCGTACTTGTAAGTAACTTCTAAGACTCTGCAAGTAAATTAAATTTTTGTTATACATATTATTGTAAAAATAGAAATGCTTATCAAGTGCTTAGTCAAGCGAAGAAAAACGAGCACGGAAATGATGAAAAATATTAAAATCAAACACATATAGGTACAAACAAAAATCTTTTTTCTAAATAAAAATATTTTATTTTAACAAATATTCAGTTCCAATATCGTGAAAGTTTGAAATAAGTCAAGTTTTTGCTTTTTTGATTTTAGAATAAGTGATACTTTGACAAAGTGTTAGTAATATGATGAACAATTATTTTTTTTGTTGAAACCATTTGAAAATAGGAAAAATTTTGTAAAATCTGAGTGCCTAGCATTATTTTTGTGCTAATGTACAATTATATTAAAATAGTTAGGACGTTTCATAACACTAATTTACATAATATTGTGGATTTTCTAATCAAGGGTTTAATATCATACTCATCTTTTATATTTATGTTTTGTTAAAGTAAACAATTGTGTATTTGTTTTTGTATACGTTTACTTAAATTTTAATTTTTAGACTTATCTGATAAGTCGTCATTATAATATGGTATTGTCTAACTAAGACCTTAAAATAGCTCGCAGACCTACTTAGAAAACGAATCAACTCAAAAAATGTAATTTTGAAGTTAAATATGACGACAATTTATCCAAAAGTATTTTCTTTATCTTAGACAAAAAAAATTTTATTTTTGTAACAAAAAAAAATTAGTTGTAAAATGGCGGTTTTGATCTTGTCTTCCCCAATATTAGGTATTTAATTAGATTTTCTAATTTATGGAAGCATAATGTAAAGTATGTAATATTGAATCTTTTTATATTAAAAATTTAAATTTTCAAAAAGAGAAACGCAAAATTTGCAAAACTTTTCCATATAGTTTTGAAATTTTATTCTCAAAATTTAGCAAATTTTGAGTTGTTACATTTTTGCAGTAATTGAACAATATAAATAATAAAAATAAAATTTTATACCGAAATGTTGTAACCTTCATAATTAAAGAAAATCATAAGTTTAATAAATAAATATAAAGAGTCAATAGAAGAAAAAAACTTAAACTGATTATTAATGCTATAGTTAAATAGAAAATGGTCAATTTCAAATATTTTTTGTACAAATGTACACATATAGTATATGTATTTACAAATATACATATCTAAACAAAATTTTAAATAAATATAATATTGAATTTTAATATTTTATGCATAAAACTGTAAAATTTTAAGTTAATTGTATAATGAGAAAAAAATATATTAAAGCGGAGTTCAAAAATTTATACAAAAACTGAAATTTTAACCTTTCTATATTTTAACAGTTACATAATAAATTATAGTAATTTTAAAGTAAAAAAAAAAATTCATATTCTAAGTTGTGTTAAATATAAAGATGATGTAATAAATTATTCACCATTATTATTGTTATATTGCAGTATAACAAGTATTTCATACTAACACTTTTATATTGAATAAATTTAAATTTACAAGTGTATATACATATGTGTGAAATTCTGAATTGAATTTATAAAGTTGCATTCAATATTAGTATGTGTATATTGCATTATCATACCTGATTTACGTTGAATTCATACTATTTTGATAAGTTATCATACAAATTTCAGGAAAGTGATATTAGTGATTAGTAAAATAGAGGTAAGTACACTAATTTAAAATGAATTGGCAGTGCCATAAGAATGAATAATAACGATTTGTGTATACTATGAATATTGAGCCGGCATTTAATGAAACTCGGTATTTTATGCGAATTTATTAAATAATTATGTGTATTCACATATGTATATGTACATGCATGTGCTGGAATATTTAAAATTTCAATTAATGTATTTGGAATTAATTTCAAAAACATGTATTTAATGTCTTATTTATATAATTTATAAGTGTTGCGATTATATAATAAATATTATAGAATACGAATAATTTATTTACCTTACATTTATGTGTATATAAAAACAAAAAAATTAATTATGTTACTCGAACAAAAATTTCAAAGCTAAATATTTATGGTAGAGGAATTAAAACGCGATTTTAAACACACAAAAAACACATAAAATAAAAAGAACGGAAAGTTAAATTAAGATTTAATTATAAGTAAAGTGTGTAATATACAAATAAATTACAAAAAAAAGAAACAGAAATTGAGTGCCAAGTCAATAACCTCATTTCAAAATTGGAAAATGATTTTTTTTTTTCGTTTTATACTTATTTGTTGCCATTATACAATAAAACAAGTGTTTATTCTATGATTGAATTTGCTAAATGGATAAGTCTATGTTGCATGCATATAAGTATGTGCATGTTTGTTTGAATGTGTGATATAAAATATCGATATAAGCAATTATTATATCTAGCTTGTATTCTGTTAATGCTTTATTTCGAAATATATAGTGCAATTTATTTACAAATAAAACTTATGCATGTACATAGTTTTATTAAAATTATATGTTAAATTTTTTAATTCAATGTTATTTTTAATTTTTTTAGGATCCAAGAAGTAAAACTATCAATATGATTTTAGAACACAAAAACAAAAACTCTGTTTAGAGTAGAGGATTTGGAATTGACATTTCAAGATTTTTTAATGGATTGAATTAGGATTGGATTTGGAGTCTTTAAAATTTTTAAATAAGCAATTGAAAATTTTTAAAAAATTTAACGTCTAATTCAGATTTGGATTAGAATTCAAGAGTTCGAATTGTAATTGGAATTGAAATCAGAGTTGGAATTGAAATTAAGATTAGAATCGTCATCAAAGTTCAAATCAGAGTTATGTTTGGTATCGGAATGATGGTGATAATGAAAACGAAGCAGAAAACATTTTTCAATTTAGTATTAAGCTGGTTATTTTAATAAATTAATTTAGAAATCAAATTTACTTACAATTACATTATATAATAAAATTTATGTAAATTAAAAACGTATTCATATACATATAAAGTAATTGTCATATTATATTACATATACTTCATAATACCTTAACATCTATTATAATAATATGCTTATTTTTATAATAGCAGTTTTAAAATTTATCTCTGTTATATTTGTTTGTAAATCTATATATGTATGCATATTGTAATATGACTCTATATTTATAGCATTGCAGAAAAACTGATAAAACTCAAATGAATAAGAATTTATATTAGTTTCTATTCATCAACAGAGTAATTAATATTGTATAAACTGAAAACATAATTATAAAATAACAGGCTTCATATACAATATTTTAATTTAAATTTATATTAAAGTATGTACACATTATTTTGTAAAATTGTTTTTTTTTAATTTAGATGCTTTTTATATAAAAAAAAAAATAACCTAAGTTTTTTCTACACATATTTGCAATTAGTTTGCTTTCCTTTTATTACATTATTCAGATTATTCAGACACTGTATTACACATTTTATAATATGTACATATACATACCCATGCTATACTTTGAAGTGAGCGTAGATTAATTTTCAAATTATTATTGTTCAAGATTTTGCTTTTTTAACGTCTATATTTATGTATTATGTGTATGTACCAGTTAATTTTTTTGGTATCTTAAATTATATGGTAACCACCCCAAGGGTCAATTACAGCAATACAATTATATTATCTTTCATAATCTATAAGTCAAATATGTAATTTAGTAGTATAATTTTTAATTTCTTTCATTTTGTATTTAAAAACTAGTTATATTGCACACAATATTTGAGAGTGCGATAATTATGAGAGGTAGAAATAAAAGAAAAAACAGATTTTATCATAGTTAAGTGGAAAAATGTATTATAAAAGTTAAGTGCAAATCAGATGCTTCGAATGAAATTGATTTAAGTATAGTTTCCGTGTTTATGCCGATATTGGCCTATCAACCTTAATGTTCTTAAAAATTGCAATTTTCTTAATGTTTTGTATTTGTCTTTGAAAAACCTTGAAATGGATTTTTACAGACAAATAAAACCATTTAAGTGAAGCACATTGTTTTTACTGCAGTCTCACTTTAAATATTAAAAAAAAATTTAAGTGACATACTCTTGCATTTAATTTTTTTTTTAATTTAATAATTGCATTTAATAATTGCATTTAATTTCATGCTAAAATCCGTATATTAAATTAATTTTATTTAAGTAATTGATAAATCTGAAACAAATACTCTGAAATAAAATGGTCTTTTCTAACTAGTTTTGAAATATTGAAATTAAATAATAATTAAATTTGTAGATAATAGTATTAACAACTGCATTTATTTAAGTATTAAGAATTATATTTAATTTAAAATAAAATTATGATAATTTTTGGTTACTAACCAGATTGGAGTCGATCTGATGATTAAAATCCTTTATTTGTTTAATTAAATAGAACAAAACAATTTTAATTTGTTGCTAAATCAACAACGCTATTCAAAATTCACTTGCTTTATTTGTTTACTATTAAATAATATTATTTAAAAATTCAAATATTAACATAAATTAAGAATTAGGTAAAATTAAATAATTTTATTTTTTTATTTTATTAGAAAAAAAAAATGAAATATTTATAAACTGATTTTAAAAATTTATCCGGCTCAAATCAATAAACGACTGAACACGATCAAGCACTGACCATTCTCGATTAAATGTTAGTAGTCTTAAAGTAAAATTGCAAAAAGTTTTGCTTATTTTGTTTTTCAATTTTATTCTTCAACAAGTTGTAAAATATTTTTTTTTTATTATTATAAAATATTATATAAAGTTGACCATTATAATATTAAGATAATTATTAATTTTAAATTTTTGTATTCAATAAGATCAAAGTATTACAATGCAAGAATTCAAGTGAATATATGAAAATTGAATTCATTTTATATATTGAATATAAATGTAGGATGTATAGCTCTAGGATTATAAGATATATGTAGATCATAAGATTAACTTTATTCATTAGCTTTATTTTTAATATTAATGTGAGAATTATTTTTGTTTTTTGATAGAATTCTACTTATTCTAAGGATAATTTAAAAAACTAAGTTAACGTTAAACAGTATGCAAAGCTTTCACCTATATTTTAAAGTTTGCGCATCTCTAAATAATTAATTGATTGAAAATAATATAAATGGCATTGTTATAAAAATTAAAATTCTGCAATTTTAAAATCTTTTAATTTAAAAAAAAAAAAGAAGCATGATGCGCCAGGCGAAAAAATCTAAGCTATATTTCTAACATTTTCTTATTACAGAATATATTTCCGAAAATACTTTTATTACGGCGAGAAATTTTCGAATGATCAATATTATCAGTGCGTGCCGTGTACGTTTTTTGTATACGCTATTAGTAATAACTCTTCAATAATTGAATTAACGAAAACTCTCATTTTTTAAATTGAATACCTACAGGTCTTTATTATTTATGTTACATAATTTTAATTTTTTTATGTAATTTTTCGAAAATTCATTTTTGAAACGCCTTAAAATATCAATACGTTCTCGAAAAATTCCTAAACTAGAAGATAACTAGCCTTATATGTATTACAATTTTAAATACATTCAAGTCTTTTATGCATTTCAAACTTGAAATTAAGTTTATAATACATTCTTTTTATATAGAAAAATCATAATATTTAATGATAATATCAAAACTTCAAAATATCAAGAAAAAAAATATATAAAAGCTTTAACTTTCCAACATATTTTTTTTAATAAAATTGAAGTTCTTTACTATTTAATTTCTAGTATATAAGTTTTTAAAATCATACTAGCTGGCGATCTCAGTGTATACAACGAAAAATATTTCATTATTATTATTCAATATCTTGCCTGAAACAAAACTAAAAGTCAAAACGTTTTTATAAAGCTTTTAGTATGTTTTCAATATTTTTCTCTACATTTTGTCATGCGTTTTTGGAATTTCATTGGTGTCTGATAGTGCTGAATTAATAAAATTGTCTCTGACACAAAAAATAGTTTTAAAACTTTAAATTTTTCTACAATGAAATAAAATAAAATTTTAAAAAATTAAAATTGCAGAAAAATTATAAAGAAATTTTTTTCATTCGCCTAAATATATGCAATTAATAAAAAAACAAATTAGTACATAAATGGCATGAAATATTTTTTTTATTACCATAATTTTTAGTTTAAAAAAAAAAACATTACAATACATGTAAAAAATTTTTTAAATTGTTAAGGAAAAAAATCAAATTCTTTTCAAGATTTCCTCTTCTTCAAACTATTAAAATTATTCTCATAACGTGGTGAATTCCGATCATTGTCCCTAAAATCAAACTGGAGGTTTTCCGTCAAAGGTGTTTTTACATATCGATTCATTTTGATATTTTTTTTCTCAAAATTTCTTACACTTCTTAGGTATCCAGAAACATCATTTAAATATTTTGGTTCGGCATCATTTGGTGCATTCAATATTGTTAAATAATTATGCTTTTTTTCATCCTGTTTCTTAAAATATTCTTCGTTCGCTTGAAGATATGGTTCATTCATATGTATATAATGCTATAATAGAAATCAAAACTCAAATTAAAATTATAATTTAAAAATTTTTAGTTTAAGTTTTGATGACATATTACCGTATATATATCGTCTTCCAGAAATTTTTCAAAATTATTTTCTAATACAGAAAATTTGGGACGATCTTCTGGTGCTTCTTGCCAACATTTCATCATTATATCATATCTACGTTATATATATTTTTTTGCATACAGAAATGTAAATAAAAAAAAAATTAAAAAGAATGGTATTTTTTTTGGATATAAATAAAAAATTTCAAAATTTTCAATTACAATTCTTGATTTGCATATTCTGGTTTTTCCATACGATAACCACTTTTTAATTTTAATACAAAATCAAAATCTCTTGCACTAATACCAGGATATGGTGTACATCCCAATGAAAATAATTCCCATAATAATATACCAAATGACCATACATCCGATTTAATACTAAATTTATTATCTTGTAATGATTCAATTGCTAACCATTTAACTGGTAATTGTCCACCCTGTTTTTTAATATAATTACCATATTGATCTGACATTGTTTTAGCTAAACCAAAATCACATATTTTAACAATATTATCATCAGCTAATAATATATTTCTAGCTGCTAAATCACCATGCATAATATTACGTTTTGATATAAAATCCATACCACGTGTTATCTGGTATGCCCAACATATTAAATCAGTTGTTGTTAATGTTTCAAACATATTCGAATTATTTGGTTCATTTTTAACTGTTTTATTTAATAATCAAAAGAAAATATGAAAAAAATATTAAAAAATAATTCGGTCATTTGATTTACCTTTCGATAAATTATCATCTTCAATATCATCACTTTTTGAAATTCTTGATGTACTAGGTTGAATAAGAGCTGTATTAGATGGTATATAAGTGGAATCAGTTGCAGTTGATAATCTTCCAGTATTATTATCTCTATAGAAACAAAAAACATAATTTTAAATATTTTTTTTTAATATAAAGAAATCAAATATTGCAATTACCCAGTTAATAGATCTTTAGTAATTTTTGGATCAATAGCATCAGTTATTGGATCAATTTGATTAATAAATTTACTACGATGATTTCTTAAAAACATTTCTAAATTTCCATAACGACAATATTCAACGATTACCATTAATTCACCTTTAAAATATAAAAATATTAAAATTAAAATATTTTAATTAAATTTGAATGGTATTCTGTTTTTTTTTACCTTTGTTAACATTTTTTGTAATGGCACCCAATAAATTAACAACATTTAAATGTTTTCCTAAATGAATCATAATTTTCATTTCAGATATTAAACAACCAATTGCTTCAGAATTTTTAACATCTTTAACAGTTTTCACGGCAACAAGAGTTTTTTCTTCTTTTGGTAAAATTTTTTTTGCAATTCCTTGATGTACCATACCAAAATTACCATATCCGAGACATTTACCTTATTTATTGAAAATTAAATAAACATTTTTTTTTTTATTAATTAATAATTTCTAAATTATTCTAAATTTAAATTATAAGGTCTTTTAACACATATTAAACAAAGGGCGTCTGAACTCGTTTTGCTCTTCTTAAATTATTGCTGAAGTCCGAGAAATGTGTAAAAATGTGATTTAGAGGAGAGTAATTATGAAGGGAGTACTTAAGTCTATTGCTAGATGTGGGTATTTTTGTATTTTTAAATTTGTGAGAGAAGAGAAAACATCCGCTTAAAATGCGATAAATATAAAAAAAAACATGTGAACACAATAAATTATTGTTAATATTAAAATTCTTAAATTATTTGATAGCTCTGGAAATATTGGAATATAAGTAATTAAAATTTATATTTTAAAATGTTCTTACCTAAAGTCAATCGTTTTTCAGGGAATTCAAATGATTTATCATATGGTAAATATTTGATAAAATCAAAAAGTGGGAATGATGAATCAGCCATTTTGTTAAGACCCATCGGTTCAGGGAATATACTTTTTCTTTTTGCAGCCTTTAAATAATAAAAAATTAAAATTATATTTAAATATTGATAATTTAAAATTGTTAATGTAATTTTTGATTATATTTTAAATTCGTTATAAATTTTTAAAGTGAACAAATTTAGTAGTTCAAAGTTAAACTTAGAATTTTATATTATAATATGCAGACAATAATTGGAATAATTGAAATATAATTGGTAAATTTTATTTTCATAGTATGTGAAATTAATAATATTAAATATGTTTTCTTATTATATTTTAGAGATCGCAGATAAAAGGATCAACTTCAGGATAAAATCAACATCATCCAGTATTGATGATTAATTTTTTAAATTTTTTAGAACTAAGCTCAAGAAAATTTGTGAGATTTTAAAGAACAGTGATAAATACAAAAATATTTATGTTTGAGTCTGAAGAACAAATATCGAATTAATTTCTTCAGTAATGATTAAATAATAATAATTAAATTTTAGGAGCATACGGACACGTTTGTTTGATATACAAATCAAATGGAATCAATATCAAATATCAAATGGACAGTAATCGTGAAACTAAAGAAACAGTAATTTATCAACTGTAGCAGTCACATCATTTAGAATATGAGAAGTTCAGTATTAAGCTAGATAAATATTTTACAATCATATAGAATTGAAATGATTGTCTTATATGGGGATTAATCGCGTTACTATAGCATTTGCAGTTGATTTTAGTAATTAAATTAATTAATTAGTAATATTGTCTGTTTAAATTCATTGTAAATCTAATGTAATCATTATATACATATTAAATTAGAATTATTAATTTACTTACTTTTATTTTTCGTACGATTTCAATTAAAACTAACAATAGTAGAAGAGCGAGTAATATAAGTTTTATAATAATCCATACGGCTATTGGTCTTTCTGGTCCTAAATTGTAAAAAAAATAAAATAAAAACAGAAATAATTTGTTAAATTTTAAAACTAAAACTTAATAATTAAATTATGTATGTAATATGTATTTTATTATATAAATTAAATCAGACATATCGAACAAAAATATTTAATAGAATTAAGATAAAATACTTAATTTTTAAATTGTACATCATAAAATTTATTTAAAATAATTTATTTTTTAATTTAATAGAAAATCAAAGTTGTTAATATAAATTTTAAAATTTGATTTAGTACGGATAATACATTTTTTTCAATTTGAATCAATTTCATGAGTTTTCATGATTAAGTAAATTATTAAATATAAATATTCAAGTTTTCTAAATTTTACGAGATACATAATTGATTTGAAATTTGATTATTTGAAAATCGCAAATTTTGAATACTAAAAATATTTAAAAAAAAAATAATTTTAAGTGTTAAAAATTTAAAAAAAAAACATTAACATTAAATTTAAATTAGTTTAAAATGCTAGAAATTGTTAAATGCTTAAATTAAAGAGAACGCCCTAATTTATGATCCAACTAATTATATTGTTTTTAATTATAATTCTTAATTATAAATACATTATAGAAAAATATTTAAAACACAAAAATAATTTGAATATTTTATATAAAATATCAAATAAATATACGTACTTTTAAATACAACATTTAACACTTTCAACACATAATCATGTGAGATTGAAGAATAAGCACTACATGTATAATTTTCTTCAATTTCCTCATACAATGGACTTATTGATAATGTTGAAATATAAAATTTTGTATTTAAATATTCTTCAGTTCTTTTTGTAACAGTATCTATTAAAAAAAAATTTATAATTTTTTAATATTTAGTTTCACATTGAATTCATTTAAATTTAAATTAATTTTTTTTTTTAATATAAAATAAAGTAAAACTTACATTGATCATTATTTTTACCAAGTTCTGTATCAGTATGATCTAACCATTTTATATTATTTTCAAATCTTTCTGAATTAACAGCACATTCTAAATGTACTTCTCTACCAAGTCTAAAAATTACTGTACCATTTTTAAGTATTTCAATTTTATTTTCATTCGTATTTTTAGTATTTTCTTGATCAATATCTATATATGGTGTTATAGAGAATGTACTAGGAAATGATGCAATTTTAACAACAGTTTCTTTTGAATTTTTTGTTGATGATGAACATTTAACTTTACCAGAATGCTTATATGGATACAATAATATATAATTAATTACACCATTTTCATAAGAATTTCTTTTTATTTCGGTTATATTATCACTTGATGTTATTAATTCATAATTAGAGCATTCATCACTTAATGTTGTATTACAAATGTGAAATGAAATCGTTTCATTTAATTGAGCATAAACACGGCAAACAATTTCTTTTCGAATTTCAGATGAATTTTGAAAATAATGAAATTTTTTCATTTGAATTAAAATATCATCTAAAAGAATAAGTAAAAAAATTTTATTTCACATTAATATTTCTTTAAAAATAAATAAATATAAATTTGATTTACCAAGAACGTTCAGTTCAAATACATTCCACGGATTTCTTTCTAAATAAAATAAACTATATTTAGCTGTGTCATCTAATGTTAAATCTCTTATAGTCAAATTAGATATTTCATTTGCACTTGTATACAAATATTTTTTATAATCATTTAAAATTATTGGATGTTCTGATTCGCTTTTATATTGAAACCAATCAAAAAAATAATCTTTAACAAAACCATTTGTTATAAATTTTATTGTTTGACCAATTCTAGCATAAACTTTAATATCGTATAATTGTTCAACCCATGTTTTATGATCAATTGAAATAGTTTCTGTAAAAGAAAAAACAAAATTAAAATTATGATTTCAAATTTAAAAGTTTTAAATTTATATTTTTAATATTTATTGTATTTCTTTTCATATAACATAAAATGTAACTATTTTGAAATTCCTATAGACTTAACTAAGTATAGCTATAAGATATTAGGCTTGTGCTTAAAAATTTCAAAAATAATTTCCAAAAATATTGTATTTGAGTATGTATATTTTAAAATAATATAAAATTTACAATGATTATTTAACAAATAATTGCACTAAATTTATTATTTAAAATTTTATAATAGAGTTGAAATATAAAAACAATTAAATTTTTAATTTAATAAAGTTAAAAAAAAACAAATAATAATAGATAAATTAAATTAATAATGATTCCATATTTTTATTGTAATTGTTTTTTTTTTTTTATATTTGGATCATAAAAATTATGTAAGAAAACTTACCAATTGCAATGATTTCAAAACTTTTAAAGATATTACCTTCATTATTCAAATAGCAAAGGAATATATCTTCATCTTTTTTATGAAAATTAATTATTTTCAAAATTGATGTTAAATTTTCAGTATTAATTTCATTTTTAATTTCAAAACGTTTATCAACAATTGCACTAGAATAAACTGGTTCCCATCTTATTGAAATATTTTTATTTTTTATATTTTTAAATTCTGCTTTAATTGTAATATCTTTACCAATTTCTCCATATATTTTTTCTGTAATTTTATTTTCACCTAGAATTACAGAAAAAAAAAATATTTTAAAATTATTTCTTTAATTTTGTAAAATTATTTTTATTATGTTCAAATTAATATTTAAAATTAAAATAAAATATTATTTTATTTTTGTTCACCTTTACAACACAAAATTTGTAATTGAATTGCCATCCAAAATATAAAAATATTTGAAAAATAATTTTTTATTCTATTATTTTTCATTATATTTTTTGTTTTACTATTTCTTTCGCCGCTTTATAATTAATTTCAATTTTAATAATTTAAAAATTTGAATTAGTTTAAAAAAAAAAATCAAAATATTTTTTGTAAATGATTTATAAATTTAAATTTAAAAACTTTTATGATTTCATTTTAATTTCTCTTTTAATTTTATTAATAAAAATGTAAAAGAATGTTAACGAGGAAAAGTTTTGAGTGTTGTGAATGGTAGAGGAAAACTTTTAATTGAAAATGAAAGAAAAATTTCACCGCATAAATTGTTTTTTTTTTTAATTATTTATATTCTATATTAGTCATAGGCGATTTTGTGTGTGTGGTCACAAAATTTAAATAAAAACAAAAACCACCTTATCAAAAAGACGTGGTTCTAATTTTAATTTTTTTAATAAAATATAAAAAATATTCAATTTTTTTTTTGTTTTTGGAATAATAAAAATCTATGTAATGAATTCTTTTAAATTACATCATAATAAAAAATAATATTAAAAATTTATCCTGCGAATATAAAGTATTAATATTACAACTAAATTTGATGTATTCCAAATTGTCAAAAAATTTAATTATTATTCATAAATAAATCAATTTGTCAAAATTTCTGACACATACTTTCAATTTTGTATATTGAATATAAATTTGATTTGTAAGAATTTTATAAATAAAATTAATGAGTACTTTTAATTTTTACAATTTTTTTTAAATCTTTAAAATTTTAATTATAAATTTAATCTATTTTATTTAATCTTACTCAATAGTATGATTTTGTTTAACAATAATAATTGAAGGGTAAACAAAATTTTGAATAAGCTCTTTGACAAATACTGCAATAAGAATATTAACAATGTAAGAAATAGAATTTCGAATTTGAACGTAATACTTCGCACATTTACTCAATTTTAAAAAGCACCGAAAATTGTGTCATTAAAGAAAAAATTAAACATTTTCGGTTTCATTTATTAGTTAACTTTCTTAATAAAATATTTATTTGGAAATATACATAAATAAATTAATATTGAAATTGAAATTGATTTCAAATTAAATATTTAGTTGTCCAGTAAGTTTTAATAATTGTTTAATAAATTTATATCTATTAATATTTTAATTAGATGAATCAGAAAAATTTAACCAACATAATTCTTGTAATTTTATTAAATATAAATTGTAATTCTTGTAATTAAGTTAATCGAAATAATTTTAAATATGTACTCATGATTAATTATGAAATTTATTAAAAAAAATATTGTTGAAAATTTTGTACATGGTTTACGTTAACTTAATTTAGTTTTTAATTTCTTAAAATTTGTCAAAGTTTTTTATACTTGCACTTATTTTATGCAAGGATTCAAAATTAATAATTGTAATTTTTTAAATTTTTTAATTTTATTTACTTAGTTCTAAGCAAATACCATCATAATTTTAAATATAAAATTAAAAATTCTTTACGATGTGGTAAAGATTATTAAAATTTGTTATGTAAATGTTATTTTGTAATTTCAATTGTATACTTGTTAAGTTAATAGAGAAATTTTTCCAAAAAATCATTATGAGAAGTAAAGCTTATTTAGTTTTTAAGGAAAATATTTAAAACAAATCTGATTTATTTATAAAAAATTTTGATAATTTTTAAAATCATGAATAGATCATATCATTTTAATGAAATCGACCTATAATTTTATTGTTCTTAAATTTTATAAAATTTAAATTTGTTGAATTCATAATTAAAATATTAAGTTTTAATCTATATTTAAGGTTTTTAACACACTTAAAGATTGTTTTGAAAAAAAAAACCTATTTAAATTTTACAATTAAATATTTTTTTTTGAAAATTTAATAAAATTTTATAAATTAACTTACCTGCACCATTTATAAATTATTAACTAATTTATAATATTCTTTTAAAGTTATCATAATTATTAATTTTTTTAAAATATTTAAATATTTTCTTAATTTTTTCTTTAATTTTACATTTTGAAATTAAATTTTTGCGACAATAGATTTGACTAACTTTTTGAAATTATAAAGTAAAAATTAGGGTTTTCTCTTTTTTTTTTTTTTTTAATTTTCTCAATTTTTAATTGAATATTTTGGTAACTGTTCCCTTTAAAGTATAAAATAAAACTGAAATAAATATTAATAAAATTCTTTTTTAAAGTTTTCTATACCTATGATAAAAATATCACAGTTGTTGAATAAGAGGAAAATTTAAAATTCATAAGGAGTAACTTTTATTGGGTTTAAAAATTATAGAACAATATGTTTTGTGGTTTGAAATAATTTTCTTTTTATTTAAATAAGTAGTAAAATGTAATATATTATTTTATAAGTACTGTACAAGATAATACCCTTAAAATTTTAATATTTTGTATAAACAAATGATTTTTAAAATAATTATTCGATTTCTTATCGATTTTTTTGATCAATTATCATAGAACATAATTATATAAGCCTTTGCTTACACTCATCTATTTTTTAAATTAGGTTTTCTGATTTCTCTTCGATTTTTTTTTTTAATTTTGTATTATAATTGTAGTTATTTATAATATATTATTGAGTTTTAAAATTTTATCTGTTTCTTATAAGTACTCAAACTTGAAACTTGACTGTTTAGATTTACCTTCTATTAATGATGGAAGTATGTGTTTAATAATCGAATTTAGTTAACAATCGATTCAATTTCTTTTCAATTTCTTATCGATTTTAAAAATAATAACCAATTATGGTTATTATTTTTGAAATCGATATTGTTCATACATTTAAATTACTTGTGTTTTTAGTTAAACTTGTTTGTAATTCGTAAAGGAATAATCGTCTATTGCCGAAGTATTCGAATCTAAAATTAAATTCTCTTTTAAAGTATATTTAAACATTATGCTTTTTCACATCTATTTCACATTCTCTTTTAATGCTAAATTATTCTCTCTTATACTCTTTAAGTTTAAGGCAAAGGAACGGTTGCAATTTAATGTAAACTAAACTCTAAAATGTCAAACAAATTCAAGTCAAAAATCGAATCTAAATGTTATAAAAAAATATGAACAAAATTGGAATTAAAATAATTTTCTTTTTTTCAAATTTTTCTTTTTTTTTTATTCAATCAGACCAAAATTTCTTTATGCTATACTTATTTTAATTATAACTGTATTACATATAATATAACAATAATTTTTTTTACAAATTTGTAATTTTCTAAATGAAATCACCATCACATTTTGTAATTTCTATTAAGAAATTTAAAAATTTTTTGAAATTAATATTATTGTTGTAAGAAATTTTGTGGTTTAGAAAATGTTTAATAAAATCACGCATAAAACGTATAACGTTTTGAATATTTAATATATTTGTACTTAACATAATATATTAAATTGAAGTTACTGGGGGTTTAATATTCATTATATTTTTATATTACTATGTAAATTCAAAACATTTTTTCATCATGAATAAGCCAATAGAAATTTAAAATTGTAGGACTTTTTTCTTCAAGGTGTAGTAAGACATGAATCTTAAAAGGAACATTTTTTATATAATATTTTAGAAATTAAATATAGAAATTTAATTATTTTGGGAAATAACGTAAATAATAATTACAATAGTTTTTATTACAATATCATTCTTTACAAACACTGTTAAGAAACTATGGGTTACAATAAAATTCTTGAAAGTTATTAACAAAATGGTATGAAAGGGTTCGGTTTTTTTTGGATTAAATGCTTAATTAATATTCTTATAAAACAATTTGGATTTACTTAATGTAATTATTGTAATGTTTTGAAATTCAACATTTTTTACAATTTTACAAAATTTAATAAAAACATTAACCTTTATAAAATTCATTGCTTATAATTTAGAAATGTCTGTATAGAGACAAAGGCATACTAATAATTTGTAACATAGAACATGTACTTAAATTTTAAAGTGGAAAAATTATAGCTTAAAATGTTTTTATACTGACAAAAATATAATTAAAATTAATAAGTATAGCATAAATTATAATAAATATAAAATTATTTTTTTAAATTTAGTTTTACAATTTAAAGCTAAAAAATATTTTTAAATAATATTTTCATGAATTCAAAATAATTATAAAATAATTTACAATAAAATTTTTATTAAAAATATACATAATCATTTTTTAACTTAAATTTTAATTGGCAATAGTTTAAGAAGTAATTTAATAAAATTTAAAAATATATAAAATATTAAATTAAATAATAAAATACTAAAATTTTGAATACTATTTAACTATATACGTATATAAAAACTTTTATTTTATTAACCTATTGGTGCTGGATTATATGGGGTTAATTCTATCGTTGAATTTACAGAATTATTGCGATCATATCTTGCATATGCATTATTTGTTGCTGGACATCGTTCCTAAAAATGAATTTTTTTAAAAAATAATTAACTTTAAAATTAAAAATTAAAAAAAATTACTTACTCTCCTTCTTTTATAAAATAAATATAATACGATAGCTAATATAATTAATAGAATTATAATTCCAGAAACTAAAATTGAAATAATTGTTGCATTATAATTTGGTTCGGTATCATTGGATACTGTGTATGTCGGTCTTGTATTAACTTTAGAATTCGTTGAATTGATGGAAGGTGAACCTGTAGAAAATAAATAAATTTTTAAATTAATAATGTAATTTATAATGTCGTACAGTATAACACGGAATGAAATTGATTCTTATTGATGGAAATTTAATAAAGAAATTATATTAGAATTTTTGAAATATGAAAACATTTCATAATTTCAAAAATTTGAGGCTTCTTCTCTTAGAAGTATGTTAATTAACATAAATAACAGTTGGTAACATAATAAAATTATGAATCATGAATATTTTTATTTTAAGAGCTTTCAAACTTAAATTTTAGGCAGAAAAATCATTTTATTTTTATTTCAAATTATTTTTTCACTTAATTTTTTCCCATTGTTTGCTATTATAAACATGCAATGCAGACACTGATTTAACTTTATTACCTGTGAATAATTAATTTTGAACACGCGATATTAAGAAAAAATCATAGGTTTTTTTAATCAATCAGTATTGTAATCAACAATAAGTTTTTGTTAATTTTAAAGAAATCATTCAAATAATAAAAAAAAATCTGATCTTTTGCCATAATAAATGACCTACCGCATTGTGTATTTTTAAACTGATATCAACATAGTTTTTAATCTTTACATTAGCTTGGCGGAATACGGGAAAATTTTTATATAAATATATTTTAAATATTATTTGTTTTAATTACTATTAGAGTGTTATTTGAACCTGTCAAATTAAATAGGATTTTAGAAAATTTGGTAAACTTATTTTAATTAGTCATTCACTTATAGTTGAGAAGGACAAAGTGTCGAATTTCGATTCTCAAAGTTATGGTTAACAAAGATTCGGTCTTTTAATTTTATAATTAAAATTAATTTTTAAATTAAAATTTTTAATTACTTACCAGTTTCATTATTATTGCTTGAATCAAAACTTATTGGATGAATAGTACTATCTTTTATCCCATTAACAATATTTTTAGTGAAATTAATATAAATTTGTTTTTGTGATAAAAATACTCTATCTTGATATAATAAACATGTATAATATCCTTCATCTGTTTCAGATTTACTAGATGATATTGTTAAAATAGAATTAATAGTGTCATGATATAATAATTTCTCTTCTTTTATACGACTTTCATTAATTTTTGTAAATTGATCATTCGGATAAATCCAATAAATATTTGCATCAGTAACATTATTCTTATTTGGATTATTTTCACCTTTAAAATCGACTAATGAAAAACTACATGTTATTATAATATTATCACCTTCCGTTGCTTCCCTAACAATTTTTTCTGGAATATTATGATTTGTTTCTAAAAAATATTAAAAAATAAATTATTTAGTATTTTTCATTTTTCTTTATGAACGAATTTTTGAAAACAGCAATTTGGTTACATTCCGTTTTAAATCGAGCCGGTGGAAAAAATGTGAGCGTTTGATTTCAAATAAAATATATAAACTCGTGTAGCACAATGCTCAACTCAAACGGGTATAAGTGTCTGTTTTTTTAATTTAGAGCTAGGAAAAATTTTAATTTTAGTAAGATATAAAATCGATATAAATTCCAATTAAATTATTTTTTTGCCGAAACAATTCGTAATATCTGCTATTTTAATAAACACAATTTAAAATTTATAACGTAATCAAAATACCGTTTTCAAAAATTGTTACAGATCCAAAATATTTTGTTATAATAACCTTGTCCAAAAGCTATAAATTGATATTCTATTAACAACATTACTAGCCATTGCAATATTAGCGTCATAAATAGTTTCGACATGATGATATTTATTAATGAGACACTTTTTACTCCTTAACATGATTTTTTGATTACATCTGTTTAAAATTAAAGAATAAATTGTTAAAATTAAATTAAGAGTTTAAAGAATTATAATCTAGTTTGAATATAACTTCTATCTTATACTAATATACATAAAGAAATTTTATATATTTTTCTGTGGATTGTTTAAAAAATAGTCATGTTCAATTTAAATTTAATATGTATAGAATTAAAATTAATTACAATAATTGATAAAGTTAATGCTAGGATAAAAATTAATGTTATAATACCTGCAATTCATATTAGACTAAATGCATAGCATTATAACAGTTGTTAAATTTTCCTTATAAATTAAGTACTATAAAATAGATTTTAGATTTTGGATTGCAGATTGGGGCGAAGATGTACCGTAGCCTAAAAGATGTGTTGTGCCATTGTACTCGACAGTCCCTAAGCCCAATTTTCTTAAGAGTATTGTTAAATCTGCAGTGTTCCGTTAGGAAACTGGTGAGAATTCTCACATGATTCCTCAGTATCCTTATCATCGCCTTAAAACGCTCTCAGTTGTAGTTGCCCAAAAGTTCGCGAAACCGTGGACGCACCCCCAATAGCTTTGGCTACTTTAAAGTATAAGTTAGGTATTCAATAAGATAATTTTGAAATCATGGTTCTATGTAGCATTTTCTTACGAAATGCTTAATTTTTCTTTCCTTTCCGTGTTTTCTTTCCTTCATTGCTCTCATTACAAAATTCATACAGTCGATTATGTGAGAATTATGACGAAGTCTTTTATAAGTGGCATGAATGTCCTGTTGATTTTTAAATACGGAAAATTTTTTAATATTTATTGGAATTGTTCAATCAAAAGTTTATTCATAACGGTTTACCATTGTATAGTGAAATAAAAAGTGTTAAAGAGTGAACGCAATTTATGATTACTGGTGTGACTCTTTCGTATATTTAAGTAAATCCATTATTTTAGGATACAAATCATTCTTGGAAATAAAATTTTAGCTGAAATGTATCGTGCATTTATGACTTGTAGTCTTTAATTATTATTGTTTTTTGTTAAGTTTGACAAATTGACCACACAAATCTTATTGTGACTCATTACAAAATTTTTAAAATTTTAGTAAAATTGAAATTTAATTACGCAAAAGTTAGTAAATTTTAATGTTAATTAAAATTTTTCATATTTTGAAATAATTATTCATTTTTTCTCTCTCTGAATATCTGAATATAGAAATGTACATAATATATTGCTGTTTCTAAGCTTTTACAGGCTATTTTATATTAGAAAAAATATATTAAACCGCAAGTTTTTCTTAATTATGGCTATTTGTTTCTTTTTTGCTAATTGTATAGAACGACATAAAACTAATTAAACAAATATTAATAATAAAATTTTCTAAATAAACCTTACTGCGTCATAGGATTCCATTGAGCAAGTGCATTTTACAATGTAGTTATAAGCAAATGATTAATTCATTTAAAAAAAAAAATGAAATTTTAAACATTATTCAATAAAATTTTTGTTTTATTCAAACATATTGCATAAATTATAGGAAAATTAAGTGAATTGACACGATTATCTTCTTTTTATCTTAGAACAATAATATGAATATCCTAATACCCTATTACTAAACAGGTCTATTTTATCTTTTTGGTTGATTCAAATATTCAAAGATTAAAAAACAAAATTGAAACCTATAGTTTAATAACTAATAAAAAAAAGTGTCATTATCAAAATTTGCCAAATAATGATTAGCAAAAGAGGCATGGATTGTATAGCCACATTGAAGTTTTATGTCAGGTGTTGCAGCTATTATAAAATTGACAAACCAGTAATTTTGATCGAAATCGAATTTTTATTTCGCTAAATCGATAATATTTCTGTTATTTGAATTTACTACAAGAAGTTTAAATTTCTATAATCAGAATAAGGTGTTCTGAATTTCTCTTTAATACAAGGCATTCACAATAGTCAGTTTTGTCGCATAAGATTATATTCAATGTTTTGTAACAAATTATGAGTATTATAAATTTTTTTTTATTATTTCATTTGAAAAGCGTCGTAACTGAAAATATAAATCATTATGCTTTTTAATTAATTTCAAAACAAAAATGTCGTAATTCAAGTGCGACATAGTCGTAAATCGAGAATCTAGTGTTTAGAACCTAGAAACTTTATGATTTATTCTACAACTTTGTATTCTATTTTACTTCTTATTAATATTTATTATTTTTTATAGTAAAATTATAATTTTTTACATATCTAATAATTCATGCTAAATGAAATTAGTAAGAATTTTTTTAGGAAGTTTATTCAATTATAATTTCTAATTGCATCTTCCTGAATAAATTCATTTATTATTATGTTTGATATTCATATAATTATATAATTTTATTTAATTCTTATTGACGTGGCTTTAGGCACCATCACTACTATTTAAATTAATTAAGAACTATTATAATACTTTGTACTTCTCGCATCATTTATATTATAAAATTCTCAATGAAAACAACAATTTTTTTTTTTTATTTAAATATATGTACGTAAATAAATTTCTATTTAATAAAATTTAATTTAGAATCTTAAATTAATTGCAATGATAATTAAATTCGCAAACATTTTAAAATTGTGTTATATTGAGATTTTAATAACCAAATGTATTTTGTATGCTTCAAATTAACAAAAAAATCAAATTAATATGTAAGTACAAAATGTATTTAAGTATGCAGTTGTCATACTTGTATTCCTACATTATTATTTTTATACAAATTACATATGATTACTCGTATGCATGGGATGAATTTGTTAAATATTTTGTTTACTTTTAATAATTTTAAATACTGAAATGAATAATTTTATATAAATAAAAATTAAGGTGTTGTATTTAAAGAGGAATTTCAACAAATCAATTAATTTAACTTAAAAATTCCAGTTTCTTATTAATTTAGATGGATAATTTCGTAGCGTAGCCTATATATGATATGCACTCAATTTTGTAATTACGTAAAATACTGCTAATGCAAAGTAAATATTTAAAATCCGCTGCAATTGCAAGATTTTAATAGTTGATAAATTTTAATGGATCTTGCGTGTTAAGAATCCAAACATTAAAAACATATTTTCTAAATATGAAACTGTGCATTAAGCGTTTTACAATTATTTAATCAATATGGCTGAGATTACACACTCTTTAATATTAAAATCTTAAACAAAATATAAATTTATAAAAATATAAATTTATTACCAGGTTAATTTATAATTAAATTTACATTAAGCTTATAAATTAATATTTTAAAAATTTTAATATATCTGAGAAGAAAAATTAAACGGTCATAAAATTGTTATTTGTTAAAATATTTATTTATTTTTGCATATAAGAAAATCAAATTTATAGTCGAACGAAATCGTTTATTTGTTGAGTCTATGAGAAATTATACTTAAAATGTTGTATATAAAGGTGTGAATAACCTTAAATAGTACTGAATAAATTTAATTTACTACACAAGACTAATTTAGTAACAATCACACAATGTGTACTATTCCAATAGCAGCATTTAAATAGCAGATTATTCGACATGATCGCTATGTAGATATTTCGTCTACAATATGTGGTGCCACGCCAATACACGAACATTTGTACAATCACTTAACGTATCTGAAAGACACTCGTATATGTTCTGAGATACACATCAGTGTGTCACTCCGGTGCATAATAGTGTAGCACTTTCTTATGGTCTTCATGGTAAGCCGATTTAATCGGGCAGCTTAAAAATTTATTCTTCTAGTGTATTAAAGTGTATTTTTAAATTATATATAATATTATCTCTGGTGGAATGTAAACGTTAAATGTTTTTCGAATTATTTTCTAGCTTTGTTGAATAAAAATATAAGCCCCATAGTAATACTTTTAAAAATTGCAATTTTTCAAAACCGTCACGGTATTATTGAGAATGGTGCTTTCGATCCATATAATTTCTATAGTGTCGTGATTTGTTTAAAAATGTGTTTAAAATTTTCATCATGGTATATTATCCATCTCATCATATAGATAAGATAATTTTTAAGACACAGATAGATCGCCGACTGTTGGGCCTTAATATGAAATATTTTACTACGAATATTTTTGTTAGTGTTACTAGTGGTCAAATTTAAATTTATGTTTTTATTGTATAATATCCAGACTTTTATATAAAATATGATTATGTGTTCATGGTCAATTAAATAATACAAATACATATATGTACGTCCATATATAGATTAATGTGTTAATAAAAACAACAACAAAATTAATTGGTATTCAATATTTTTTTTTAATAATTTTCTTCTTAATTTTTAATAAACAACCAAACCTATTTGATGAGGTTTTCTAAATTAAACTTGTCAAATAAATTAAAATCATATATTACAAATTTATATTTTTTGGTAAATTTGCCTTATTCATAAATCAACGTTTCTGAGTCATTGTATAAGAATTCAATAGATATAAATAAATTTTAAAGCAGTTTATTGCTATTTGAAAATAGTTGAAAACACGCTTACATTAGAACTAAATATAGTAAATAAGAAACTATTATACAGTCGGAATTATTTCAATTTTTTTTGTTATTTTACATTTTAAAAAAATAAATCTTTTTTGTTATTTTAGATCTTTGATTAATAATGCTGTATTTAAATACCAAGGGGTATTTACAACACCGCCATATTTTGTAATACAGTGTCTAAAAATTTTGAAATTGTCAATTTGTTAGTGCAATTATCATTATTATGCAAGTTATATCGGCATTATCAGTGCAATTTAGGGATAGTTTAAGAAAATTCTGTAAACCTCAAAATTTCTAATAAATATAAACTATTCATAAATGTTGCCATACCTAGAAGTCAAGCGCACAAACTTTAATTATTCCTCATTATTATTCAAATAAATGACATTTATTATTACTGCAAAATTTCAATACACACATACATATGTTTAGAACAAGAATGTAAATTTAAATGTAATTAAAATATTTCTCATCGCTGCTATTTACAAGCATTTTAGAAGTATTTTACATACATGGATAATTTCTTCTAATAAATTGATTAAAAAATTTTTTATAATTTTTACATTTATATTTTAATTTTTTCTTTTTATAGTACAAGGCCTATACAATTTTTTTTAACAAATAACTGGTTTTAAATGTATTTGTAAGTAAAAAACAAAACTAAAATTAAAGTTGCGAAAAATTTAAAGAAAATGCTTTTTATTATGGGAGAAAGAAGTAAAGAGCATTATGTTTAATGAGGAATTGGGCAGTAGTTTTTTCGACATAATTTCATCGATGATAATAAAATAACAACAAGTTCTGCCAGAAATACAATATCTGAATTTTAAACATTGAAATTGTAAGCGCAAACCAATTCATATACGAATATTTCTTATAGAATTTGACACATCAGATTTTGACATTAGATTTTGAACCATGTATGTATTTGAAATCAGATTTTGACATTAGATTTTGACATATGTCTGTGTTTCAAATCAGATTTTGACATAAGATATTGAACCACGTATGTATTTAAAATCCGATTTTGACATTAGACTTTGATATATGTATGCATTGGAAATCAGGTTTTGACATAAGATTTTGACACATATATGTATCTGAAATCAGGTTTTGACATTAGATTTTGACATATGTCAGTGTTTGAAATCAGATTTTTATATAAAATTTTCTCACATGTATGTAATTGATATTAGATTTTGAAACATGTACATACGTGATTCAAATCAAGTTTTGACATAAGTAACAATTACACTTACCAAAATATAATATTCCACTTTTGTATCAATATTTTTAACTGATACTGTATATACTCAAAATATTTAAAATAAATTTATTATTTGACAGGCTATATTAACAAAGCTCATATATTATACTTAATTTTGATTGTAATATTATATATATATATATATATATATATATATATATTTTTTCTCAAAATTATTAAAACAAAATTTTATTAATCGTAATTGCAAGTTTTTGTTTTTGTTTTCATTAAAAAATACTTTTTAAAATAAAGGTAAACAATATGATTTGTTGTATTCAGCCCTTACATTGTAATATTTTACAACAAATATTTTCTGTGTGTGTTATTTTATAATACAGCTATTTACTTTATTAAAAAAAACTATTTTTCATTATTCATAATAAGATTATAATTAAAAAAAAAATTAAAAATATTAAAATATTTTCACAATTAGTCACGTGAATTTTTTCATAAAAAAATATTGAAAATTTTAAAATTTTATTTATACTTAGAAAAATTTTAGTAAACTAGTATTGAAAAAAGTTTAATTTTATTTAAATTAAAAGTATGAATCAAAATATCGCGTGTGAAGCAAGAAAATCATGTTTTGAAAATCTCCTTGTCTCTGCTTTTTTTCATTATTTACCGAGATTTATTTGTTTTAACCGTGATTTTTTTATTTACAGGCATAATGTTTTTATCGACAACACTTCAATAAGCAAACTAAAAAAATTTCAGAGATTAAAAGTTTTCTTATTATAAACTAAAATAGCTTTTTATAATTTTATTTTTAAACCTGTTTTTAATCATCCCATATTATTAGTATTTTTAATTTAGTACAAATGATTAAGAAAACTTTAAAATTTTGTTTTTGTTTCTTTTAATTGACCACTGGCATCATGATGATTTTAACGTTTTTTTAACTCTTTATTATTCTGGTTTTTTTCTCTCTTTTTTTGGTTTTGTATGAATGAAAAAAATATTTATTGTTAAGGCAAAATTTTTCTAGTTTGATTCTGTTTAAAACCCAAAATCACATATGAAATCATTGGGGTTTACTTAGTTAATTGTAAAGTGTTATACATACGATACGTATATATAGCTGACATGAGTATATAACTGATTAAATTCATTAAATTATAAAAGGTATATAAAAATATACAACTTTCATTTTTTAATATCCATATGTACATACATACCTACATTTGTATAATATGCAGTTGCATATTACGTATAAGAAACTCTTCAATATTTTATGAAATAAATGAATGAGATCAATTCAATTTTGGTTTTTCCAATCATATTGTTTATCAATCAATCATATAATAAAGAAAAAATTGAGAAACAAAAAAATTTAATGTGTATATAGTCATTAAACTATTTTATTAATTAATTTAGCAAATTTACTCTGATATATTCTGGATGATGAATGAAAAATAGTAAAACCGCCGTATATAGTATTTCGAAGAGCTTTTATTAAAAAAAAGATTTTATTGCAAAATTATGAAATTCTTTATTGCATAATATTTTATGAATGAAAAATTTATGAATATTCTTATACTACATGTCCAAGTATTATTGGTGTGGTGATGAATTATGAGGCATATAAGTTATGAAACAAACGGATATGGAATGTATTTAATTTGTTTGTTAATTAATAATTCTAATTATTGTTTTCAAATTTGTTTAAATATTTAAAAAAATTTATTTTATATCATTTTATATTTAAATATAGTTATTTTGTTCCGATATTGTAGTTTTCGAGATCTAGATCTCCGAAAGCTTTTCAGCCAATCATAAATTTGAAATGTGAGCCCTCGTTGGTAAAAACTATAATTTGAATGTGAGCTCTCGTTGGTAAAAATTAAAAAAAAGAATTCATTTTAACCTCATTTAGACTCAACCATTACTCGAAATTTCTGCTCAACTTTGAGTTGTAATTTTTAGAAAAATTTTAAATAGCATCAGCCTCGCAATTCATATCAAGTATTCTTGTATCTTGTTTCTAAAAATTTGAATTAGAACTAAAAGAAAAAATTATTTTGGCTCATTTGACATTTTTTTTTTTTTGGAAATTTTTATATGATTCAAATAAATCCGATCCGATTCACTCTTAAAAATTTTTGAACTCGACATTTGTACCTAAATATCGTTTCTTTTCAAATATCCGTTCCGTTCATATGTGGGATATTGCAAAATAAACAAATTTCAACTCAATTTGAAATGAAACATGAAGTTTTTGTTTTTACAATATTGTTTTAAAGGCCCATATTCGTCCGGCTCTGGAATTCTTATATAAAATTTTATTAAATTTTTCTATTGAAATGCGTGATGTCAATTAATTGTTTGTGTCAATTGTATATTTTGTTCAAATTTTATTAATTGAAATATACAAATAAATAGAACGCAAAATTAAGAAAGGATGCTGATTGAAAAATCATAAAAATTGTAAATATTTAATTTTGAATAGCAGACTGGTGACTCATTGTTTTCATTATTGTTTGACTGTCATTTAAAATTTTTATAATAATTTTTTTTTTTCGGAAACATAAATTATGTATGTATGTATGTATATTAGAAGAATTTTAAAATTGAAACAGTAATTGCCAAAATTATAATCACTTACGATTGTATATTGAATTTTATTGGTATCTTTTTAACTGTTTCACTGTGAAATTTTAGAAAGAAATTCGTTCTTAAATTTGTATATTAGTCAGTACATTCTAAGACAGCCATTAGAAATTCAGTATATTATAATTATTATAATATTATAATTATTTAATTGTACAATTTCGATTCAGTGATGCTTAATAATAAATTTTAATCTCATGCAAGATTTATTTACGCTCATACTCTACGTGCAACATTAATTGTTATATAATAATCAATTACTGATGACATAATATACATACATACTTAATTTTAATAATTAATATTAAATACAAATAATTTTTTTATTACAATTTATGTATTAACAACTTCAATTTTATTAATTTAATTCTAGACTAAAATATTCATTTAATTACTTACTCATTAATTTAAAATTTTCAAATAAGAATTGAAATTTTTGCATATATCTAGGAGAGAGAGAGTATATTCAGTCGATAATGTAGTTTAATCTATTGAACAAAAATGCAAATTGAAATATGTAATATAATTTGTAAAACGTAAATTCTATTGTATAATTTATGTGATTCTTTTTTTTTAAATAGGAAATGTAAAACTAAGCTTTAATCACTTTATATTATTTGCAAGTATATATAAATATATTTGAAATACGTCGAATATCAGTTTTAAAATGGGATAACCAGAAATTGTTTTACATAAAATCTATGATTAATAAAATATTTTTCATTTTAAAATTAATTTTAGTTTTGTTTACCCGTTAGAATTAAAATATCATTTATTAAATAAAATATGGAATCGTAAGTTATCGAAGAAAATGACACGTCATTTTTTATTATTTTAAAAGAGCTTTTAAAAGAGGATTTTAAAAAATTGATTTTTTAAATACTTGTAATTTCATTAATAATTTCATAATTTATTTTGAAATTCACAAATTGAATAATTAAAACTTGAGGAATTGCTCAATAGATAACAAACAAACGTGTATATAGAATGACGTGTTGAAATATATACTGAAACGTCAAGAAGATATTTAAACCCTGAAAATTTCTAATATAATGGACAATAATAAAAAATATAGTAAAACTATTACAGTTTTATAATATATAAAATGATTATATAATATAATCATAAAGAAAGAAATATTTAATCAAATTCAATAAAAACTAAAATTATTAGCACTAAAATTAAAAATGACCACTACGAAGAACCCATCATCAATAATTCTTTAAGTATTTGAAATAAAATTTAATTATTAGAGTTCAATTAACTTGGAAACAAGATGAAAGAACTTGAATAAACTTCAATTCCTCCGTAAAATTATCAAACAACCTTGTTGAACCACCAGCCAAAACTCGTTGAGAAGATAGAGAGTATCATCAATTCTACGAATATGGACATTATTTCTAAATCTGGTGTAAAAATTTATATCAGTAGCGCTAGATACAAAATATATTGGAATAATCCAACTCGTTATGTATACCACTTAGAGATAGAATAAGATTGGAATAATATAAGCCGACTGTGCTACACCTCATAATAGAGAGGCCTAAACCTAATAATAGGGAGCTCAATTTATGAATTTAATTATCATTAATATTAATAGTAGTCAAATTATCACATTAGATATTACTGATTTCTTTTATACAAAATTTAAAATTAAAAATCTTTTTATACAAATTACTTAAAAATATTTAAAAAAAATAAATGTTAGTGATATTGTAGACATTACTTAAGCTTTTCCACTATTGTTGTAAGAAACACTGCTTTCCGTTTTAGTATCTGATTTACTTTTCAATTTTCTACGTACCTAAAAAATTATAAAAATAATTAATTTATATAATATAAAACCGATAATTTACACTATTCAACGTGTTTAAAACCCTCCAAATATTAAAAAATAAAGAATAAAAAACTGGAAGCATAGTTATAATTTGTTCATCACGTTTGTATAGTGTAAAATTACTGAATAAATATGAAATTTTTTAAATACTTACAACAATCAACAGTACAATAACAAATATGAATAGTATTGCTATAATTAATGCTGAAACTCCTGCTATTATTGGAATTATAATATTTTCATTATTTTGATTAGTTGTCTCCTTCATTTCAACATTTTCTGTATTCTGTATTTTACGTATCTTGTTAAATGTATCATTTTGAAAAAGATTTTCTGGTCCATTATTTGATATTGTATTAAAATTATGAATACGGCCATCAATTTCATCATTTGTAATTACATTATCTAATTGAATAATATAGAAAATTAAAATTTTTATTAAATAATTAAAAAAAAAAACAAAATAGTATTCAAAAACCTTTTTGAATTTCTAAAGTAATAAATTTTTCCGTCAAATATTCTCCTTTATTATTTAAAATACAAGAATAATTTCCAGAATCTTTAATTTTTGTAACATTATTGATCTCTATAAAAGTTAATAGACTATTTCTTTGAAATTCCGTAAACCATTTTATTCTTTCATAATCCGTATCATCAGGGTATAACCAAAAAATTTCTAAATCATCACGATCATAATCAGCAATATTAAATCTACATTGTAATACAATTGACTCTCCTTCAAATGTTGTATAAGTTTCTATATAAAAAAAAAAGAATAAATTTACTCAATTGTTTAAAAAAATTTAATAAAGTTACTTACCAATGCCATTTCCTAAATGAATGTTACTTAATATTACTGTAAATGTAGTAATTATCATGAAATATGAATACATTTTTTTAATTTAATTCACTTTTACATTAAATTTTTTAAATATTAAGAATATTTAATAAGTTGAAACTGAAAAATATCAAAAAATTTAAATATTATAAAGAATGGGTGAGTTTGAAATCATGAGATAGACTTGATAAAATTTTAAGAGTTTTAAAAATTCTTGGATTATTTAAATTGTAAGAATGGATTCCTCAAATTACAACAATTAGTATGAAAATTTAAATAATATGAATAGAACATGATCGACCGGCCGCATTGTAAATTTGAATTTAATCCAAATGATATTTACACATACCATATACTATTCTACACTCATTTCTATTCGTTTGGCAAGACAGGATGAAAATTTTTTGAATAATTTCAATATTGTTTGAAAAATACACAAGAAAAGAGCTAAAATACAAAATTTCAAGAAAATCTAATTGTTATTTAATCATTGCTAGTAGATGATCGTAAAACCAGAAAAGGTCAATTCTAAAAGTCTATTTCCTATAAAATTATGTGCTCTAAAATTTGATTAATTCTATACATTACTAAAGTAAAATTAAATATAAATTTTCATTAACATATGGGTTCGGCCCAATACAATACAAGAACAAACGATACAAGAGTTCACGTAAACAAGTTAACTAACAAAGCGACATCTAGCTGCAAAATGGTTATTTTCTCTATTAAAAATTCATTTTTCATTGAAAATTTTTAGTTTTTACAACTACATAGAAGAATTAAAATTATAAGTAGGTCCATTTTATTTTAAGAAATTTCATATTTTACCTGAAAAGTTTAAGTATTTTCAACACAAATTAATTACGGTATTTAAAATATTAAACACAATAACCAAAAGAAAAAAATAAAATTTTCTAGTATAACAAAAAAATTTTGAACACTATTTTCCGCTATATCGAATAAAAGTCTATTTTTTATATAAAAATTTTTTCGAATTCAACTTAGTGTGACTGACTTGGTCTTACTATTTTAATTTTTAGTTAAAAAATAATTGAGCTTATATTTATTTTATTAAAATCGTATGCAAATTTTATGAAACTCAACCAACATATATGAATTTCATATTACATTAAAACCACATGAATGCTTGCGTACATGAATTTTCTAAAAATAAAATTTAAAAATTAAAATTGTCCATATATGCTTTGTACTTTAATTTTACCCTTCAAAAATCAATATATTTACTTAACCAGACAGATTTGTATGACGCACAACATTTTATGTATAGGTTAACGCCACATATATTTAATAACGTAATAATTTGACCATGTCTGCCACAAAATACCTAAAATAATACCAAATTTTTTTTTAAATGAGATTGAAAATAAATACGTAATTGATAGTGTCGTAGCAAATTTGTTGAGAACGTCAAATAAATTTAATCGGATCTTCTATAATTTCGGTTTGCCGGTCAGTATGATCTCTATAGGTGAATTTGTTGCTATTATTGAAAATTATTTCTATTCAATTCTAGGAATTGAAATTTTTAATCTTGATGAAATCGAATAAGAGTCATGTTTAACGGTTGTTAAATTACATTAAATTTCTAAAAATGAAAGTTGGGAATTATCTATGCTGAGGTTAAATAATGTTAATGAAGAAAACTGATGTATACAAAAGGCGATCCAACCGCATTGTAGACCTTTTAAAATAGTATTCAAATGTGTACACTAACAATTTTCATTTTTAGTTTTTTCCATAAAAAGTTTTAAATCGAATTTTTATGCAAAGTACTCGTAACTCAACTAAAATGGAGATAGAAAGGGCCAGTCCGATATATCGCAATTTAGTTTCTTTATGTCTCTCTAACATAGAAAAATATAGTCCTATTGAAAAACTGGATATGTGAAATTTCGTGAGATCACCTCCATATTTATATGAAATGTGCTCGATAATAATTAAAATCTATCAATAAGTAAATCCCATCTTCAGTTAATAGAATGCTACTTGAATATTTATTCCTTGTTATACTTTATGATTTAAATTACATGCTATGATTTGAGCTATTAAATATTAACAGTTTAAAACGTCAGGATCAGTTACTGAAACGCTGGGATATTGGAGATATTTAAAAAAATCTTTTGCAAAACTTTAAACGCGTTTTCTGGCTAAACTAGAAGAGATAGAGCGATTTTAAGTGTTTTTTGTGATCACTGGGAGTTTACAGATTCCGCCAATATATGATAATAGGCTGTAGCAAAAATATTTTTGGAGATATTTAAAAAAATATTTTGCAAAACTTTAAACGCGTTTTCTGGCTAAACTAGAAGAGATAGAGCGATTTTAAGTGTTTTTTGTGATAACTGGGAGTTCACAGATTCCGCCAATATATGATAATAGGCTGTAGCAAAAATATTTTTGGAGATATTTAAAAAAATATTTTGCAAAACTTAAACGCGTTTTCTGGCTAAACTAGAAGAGATAGAGCGATTTTAACTGTTTTTTGTGATCACTGGGAGTTCACAGATTCTGCGAATATATGATAATAGGCTGTAGCAAAAATATTTTTGGAGATATTTAAAAAAATCTTTTGCAAAACTTTAAACGCGTTTTCTGGCTAAACTAGAAGAGATAGAGCGATTTTAACTGTTTTTTGTTACCGATTTAATGATTTGGTGAACGAACCCTTCGACAAATTTTACGATAGATATTTGACTAATTAAATATAAAATAATTTCATATAGGTATATTAATTTAATAATTTATTAAGTTTTGAGTAAAAATCAACTAGTCAAACTTTGTATTAACAATTTGTTTCGTATAATTTGAGTGAAATATTGTTTTAATTTATGAATCATATGGTATAACAGCTACTGTTGTATATTATATTGAGTAAAATATGAGTTTTTTTTTAATTCAATGCACATTCATTTCCAATAATTTTAATTATTGAATAATCTCATATTTTCTTACTCTCAATTTTAAAATTATGATTTTCACTCATTTTTTGAGCGTTTTTGAAAAAAATATATTTTTGTTAAGTTCAGTTCAGTTAAATTATGCTATAAGAATATGTGACTTCATTCAATAAATGTTCAATAGAGACTGAATATACATAATTATTAATATGTTAATATAATGAAAAAGTGTACGGTAAAAATCCAAAGTATGCAATAGAAATACATGTGTGGAAATAGTATCGATATATATGTAACTAAATTAAAAATGCATGTTTTAAGCAACAATGCTTTAAGAAAATATTCGAACAATTTTTAAAGTTGAGTTAAATTTTAATATGAGTGTCTCCAATATATTATTATAATAACCTCAAAAATTCATTTTTCAAATAAAGAAAAATTTGGGTAAAAATTTTTTTTATTATAAAAAAATTGTTTTAGTTTTTTGTTATTTTTTTTTAAACCACAATTCACATTCAAAAACTATATATGTATGTATACATATTCTTACAATAATTGAAAATAAACAATTCAAACCACTATAATAAAAATATTTTTCCGCACATCTTTGTTAAAATATATAAAATAAATCTTTAAAAATATTATTAATCAAGATTTTTATAAATAATTTTTAGTTCCTATATAACAATCTCGGCCTAATTTCTTATATACTGAGAGGTTCCAGGGCTTAATTTTTAAATAAGGTTGCGTTAAAATTAGATGTTGTTTTAGCGCTATTTAACAAAAATTCTTTCATTACAAAATAAATTAAAAAAATTGATATAAGTTATAATATGTACATAATATATAATATAAGTTTAAGGCTGCGTGTACAACTATCACTAAGCTCTTTCTGTTGGGTAGTTTCCTGTTATTTAAATTATTTTGCATATATGAACAAAAATTAAGCAATATAAATTTAAATACTTGTATAATTGACAGTATTGTACAATTTAACAATATGTAGCTTGCATAATTGAAAATGTTATACGTACTATATAGAACTAGTATATGTATTTTTAAAGTGTTATATGCGTTAATTAAATCATTTATATTTCAATATATGAATGTATAACAATTTAAATGTTTAATCTAAATATTTAATAATATTTATGAGTTTTCGAACTATATCTGTATAAATGAACAATATCTAAATTTTAATGTTTTTAAATTTAATTTTCACTCTAATATATAACAGAATCTCTATATACTAAGCAGATTTCCATTAACAAACTACTGCTAAACACCCTGAACTATTGAGGAATTAATATTACAATCACATTGAACATGTATTGAATATGTTTACAAGAAATATAATTGAAAAAAAAAAATGCCAACAATTTTACTTAGCAACTAAAAATAGTTTATATTTAGAATATCATATAATTATTAGTATTGATCAAAATAATAAGAAATATGGAGATTTTTAAATATTATAGAATACAATTTTCTGTTTTTTTTTTTTAAAGAAAAAAACTGACTCTGTAACATATTACGTTTAATAATTATGTTTCATTAAATATGAAGTCTCTTTCCAATTGTTTAAAATTCGAATTGTCGTAAATTAATTAAATTTTAATTATAAAATTTCATTAAATTTATACAAAACACATTATAAATTATAAACTATTTGTTTGTTGGGTTTTAATTGATTCCCTGTTTATAGGTAAAATGATGGATGACATAAAATAATGTTTTTTTGATTTTCTTATGTTAACGATAATTATTTCGATTTCTAATATTTCTTCTACGTTTTCTTCTTATCTAAAATATAATTAAAATATAAATATATTTAAAATTAATTATTAAAATCATTACAAAATTATATGATGAACTTACTAAGAAAATGCAAACTGCAACAGCACCAAATTGTAAAATAAGTACACCAATAACACATAAAATAACTAATGCCTTATTACTTGTTTCTCCAATATTATTTGTTGGTCGATCATTATTTTTAATAATTTTATTTAATTCAGTTGTTGTTCTTATAAAATTATAATCGACATTTTCTGTTACATTATTGAATTCCTTATTAATAAATGATGAGATTATTCTTTTATCAACCATATTATTATAGATATTTGAATTGTTTCCATTGATATTTTCATCATCAATATCACTATCATACATAATTTCTTAAAAAAAAATAAAAAATAAAAAATTAATATTAAAATTTTTAAAATATAAGAGCCTGATCGCCCATCTCACTATTTCCCTCGGAAGCGACAAGAAAGTGTGTAACTATACAATATATTTGTATTTAATGTAATTTCCGAGTGAAAAGAATTATTCCATATTGTATATCTCGTTTTTTTCCAAAATGTATACTAAATTTAGACACTTTGTTTGAGAAGAAAAATGAAATATACCATTAGAAAATACTGAGATACACGATTAGGCTGAAAAAATATTTAATTATAAAAATACCTTCATCAATTACAATCAATTCAAATTGTTTTTCTATTAAAAATATATCAATATCAAATAGTGTACAAATATATTTTCCTTCATCATCAGGTTTTGTTACATTTTTAATTTCTAAATATGAAAAAAAACTATTTCTAAAAAATAGATTTTCTTCTTTGATTCTATCATGAATATTTTCTTCATTTGGATATTTCCATATTGGTATGAGATTTTCTTTTTTATGATGATCATTTATATGAAATGAACAGATTAATAACACTGTATTACCTTCATTAACCCGAACAGTAGTAACTAAAATTTAATAAACAAAAAATAATTTATTAATAAAACACCCTATACATAATATAAAATATAAATTATACTTACCACCATCACAATTCACTAAATAAATATTTGATAATGTAATAAAGAGAGTAAAAATATAGATAAAAATCATTTTTACTCTTTATATTTTTAAAATCAATTGTTTAGACGACCATAAATTCCATGACTAAAAAACGATAATCTAAAAATATAAAAAAATATATTTATTACAATTTAAAAAAAAAAAGCAATGACTCAAATAAAGATAAAAAATATTTTATAAGAATTTAATAATAGTAGCGCGACAATTCAAATTTTATTTTAAATATTAAAATTCAATTTTGTTCTACATGTTCTGCGGTATGAGGTTGTATGACAAAATTATCTTCTTTTATCTTTATTTTTAAATAACTGTATGATTAGATGTCATTTTAATCGGTCTATTCTATGAATGCGATCTAAAAAACTAAGAATTTTTTTTTTAACCTGCATTAATAGCATTTCGAAAAATTGAAAAGTATTTATAAAACAACGTAACGAAAGTGTAACGCAAAACAGATTTTATCGATATACAAGATAAAAATCTGATGTGATTAGCACATAATCGACCGCAATGTACATTGCGTAGTTTAGTGAAAGTGTTTAGCTAATATACCTAGAAAAGTGTTAATTTGGCTCTTAGTAGAATTTCGTTTTGTACCATCCGAATACCCTGAATAGTTCACGAGTTAGTTTCGGTAACAGCCACAACTCAAATATTAAACTTCAAGAAATTCCAAAAATCCATTCCGTAGATATGGCTAAAAAATGTAAAATTGGCCTCCAGTTCGGTAGATTCATTATTTTAAATTTAGCCCGAATTTGAATATTAAATTTCAAGAAAATTGGTTTGTTATTTCACCTTATATAGGTAAAAATGTAAAATTGACCCGCAAAAAGGTCCAGTTCATTTGAGGTCTTATATATTCCAAAAGTTGATCAATTCGTACCATAGCCAAAATGAGCTCATATATAAAATTTCATCAAAATCAGTTCAGCCGAACTTGAGGTACACGCGTGCCTACACAAGCAGACAAATAGACAGACCTACAGACCGACATCTCTCCTAAAAGTAATTTATTTACACTTTCCTATTATGAAGAAGTGCATTCCCACCGAAAAACTCGACATCAAAAAATTTCGTACCATTAACATACATAATCTAATTGTATACAATGCGGTCGGTAAAAGGAAAGTATAGGAATTAAAAAAAAAACCTCCAACTTTTTAATAGTATATTTATGTTTCGATATGATATTAATTCCAAAATATGTTAACCACCAAAAACATAATTCTCAGATATTTACCAATATTTTGTTTATATATAGAAAACTCTTTAATTTTGGGTGTGTCTGAATGCGAACAAATATTTTGTAATCAAAAAATTTGACAAAATTATTTTTAAATGGAAAAGCATTGCACATAATTGTTTCTCTTTATTGTGGCTAAAATATATTTTATAATATATTTTTATTTAAACTATAGAAGTAGGAGAAGATAAATCTCTCTAAATAGCAGTCCGTCAATATAATAATTTACGTTTAAATTTAATTCCGAATTGCGGATTTTAAATTGAATTCCCAAATTTCGGTTTAAGTTGAGTTCAGTATAATTCATATTTTACCTGAATTTCATATAAAGACGATATTACTCAATTTAGAACTCAAGGGGAAAAAAAATTTCTTACCATCCTGAAAAGTTATTATTTAGTTAATTATATGCAATATTACTTGCATAATATCTTCTGATACCGTTATGATCAACATAATTCGGCATAACTTTACAAGGAATGCAATTAAAAAATTAATTTATAATAAATTGTAACAGGAAATTGTTACTTTTTTCGGAAAATATATATTTAAATGAATTGTAACTTTGTACATTTGCGTGATATACGTGATATAAAAAATCCCATTTTTAGACTTATTACACTTTAGAACTATATAATTTGATTTTGTATATTTTATAATGTTATTTTTACAATAATCTATACGTAATAATTTTATCATATGTACCATAAATTTTATAGGCAAATTATTTTCAGTTCAATTGTTTTTTTTTTTGATTTTTTTTGTGTTCGGAACCCAAAAAATATAGTTTTCATTACACATTCTTTTGCACAAAAACTAAAATGCCTATACATATATATTTAAAATGTAATTTTAAGATACAAAAATTTTAAAAATTGAAAAATTTTGGAAAAATAATGACCTTTAATTTTTGATCTTGATAATGTTATAGTATTAATACAATTTTTTTTATATATATATTTTTTTTTTTGGTATTTTTAAAATTTGTTTACGTTAATAAAGAAAATTATTATCACTAAAATCAAACATTTTAACCAAAATATTTATACAATAATATTTTTTTCTCCGTTTAATAATTTTAAAATTAATTTGTAAATGTATTTTATATAGATATTTATGTATATGTACGTGTAAATAGGATAAAATGACGATTTATGAGATTAAAATAACAATTAATTTTTGTTACAACAAACATTTATATATTTAATTTAAATATTCAAAGTAATAAATAACAAATTACATAATATTTGATAATCAACGGCTAGGCCCCACAAATGAAAATTAAGAAAACTTTCTTTAATTTTGTTTTATTTCATATTAATTAAAAAAATTATTTTTAATCATTTTTTAAGGATAGTAGCATAAATTTATTTTATTTAATATATTAATTAATTTAATTAAAATTAATAAAAATAATCACAATTTATGTTAACAATTTTATATTTGAAAATTATATTTGAACCATTTCATTTGAATTTTAAATTACTAATAAAAGATAATTTTAAAAATTATAGGTATTTATACTATACACAGTATACACGCTATACTTACTTACTCAAAAAATTAAAAATAAATTCTCATTAAATTTCCTCTCATTAAATTCGTTTTATTGAATTAACTGTTCCCGTAATATTCAAAATAAAACTCATGAAATTTCGATAATATCACTCAATAATTTCATTTATTGAGTGAAATATATTTCTATACGTATTTTTATTATATACGTACAAAATTGGTTTTGTTTTGTCAAAATATTTTTTGAAATATAAGCGAGTAATTTTTTATTTTCATAATTATTTAAAATTTGCATGGGAGAAATAAAATTAAATACATTTTTTTTTTTGCCTGTTAATTTAAAAAATTAATAATTCACGTCAATATTTCATTATTATAATAAAAATCACCTCCCATATTGGAGTTATAATTAGCAGGTTTTAAAACAAACAAATAATACTCACTCAATAAAAATAAATTCGAGTATGTTGTGATTCGAGGATCAAGAGTTCGTCACATTTCCGTTACAAGAATTATATAACACTACAGAGACTCTGTCTTCATCTGCCGATAAAAGTTTCATCTTCGCCAAGAATTTTTCCAAGAACAATTAGAATTTAATGACTTATTGTTGTTATTATACATTTAAAAGAGTATTTTTGTTAAAAAAAATTGCCAACTTCAATTGTGCTCAAAAGTTTTAAAATTTTACATATAACTGTGGGCACGTGTCCATAAAACCAAAAGGAATTTTTTTAATAATTATAGGGTAAATTCCATATTAATGCTGTACAGTTAAATTAAAATTACGAACCTAAACTTTTCTAATAAATTTGGATAATTTTCAAGGGACCTAAACTTTTATTCAATTTGCTCTATTCAAAAGAAAAGCAGTCTGTATAAGGAAAAGAATGAAAAATTCGTTTCAAGAAGGTAATAGCAAAAAATATCACTTTATGTGACTTCATTTTTCCAAAGTTTGAAATGATTGCGGGCCACTTGTGGGAAATGTGTGAATTAGGCTTTGTCACAAAAAGGTAATGAACTAGAAATGGCTCATAAAATATATCCTGGTGCATCGGAACTGTTAGAATTGATTAATAGATTTATCTTTTCGTAAGAAAAATTAGTTAGGGAAGATTTTGTAAAAGGGTCACTGCAGTCATAGAATAAGCCTCTATGACTGTAGTGACATGGTCTGAAGTTGATTTCCACCAAATTAAAATCAAATTTGCACTGAATTTTAAATTTCACCAATTTAATTGCATTGTTAGGTAAAAGTGAATTTTGAAATTGTAATTTCTTAAATAAACCGATTTGCTCTGTCTTCTGAAGCTTCTCATCTAGATTCAACTGTATTTTTTTTTGCTATCAAAACTAAAAACTTTAGTTGTAAGTAACCATATATTGTTTTTTAGTTTTTGTTAGATTTAACCAAAGTGAGCTCATGTACATAATATATTGAAAGTAAATTTTTTTTTCACTACATACATACATATTGTAATAGTTTAATTTGCCGCTTACCAGTATATAGCAAAACGTTGTTTGTAATTTTAATTATGCAGTGACAATAGGTCATTGTTTTATATTTTTTATTTTAAGAGTTGTAATGCATTTTTATTATACTTATGGAAATTTAGAAAAAAATCCCAAATTTTCTGCATTTAGAATTCTAAATTGGAATTTTTTGTCTAATAAAAATATTTTATTTATTAAATTTTTAAAATTACTTTCACAAATTAAAGGAGTTTTAAAAATCCCTAACTTTAAGTTTTAGTAGAGTCTTTAAAACTTTATTTTGCGTTTTTAAGCGCTTGAATGTAAAAACTTTGGAAAATTTAATATTGACTTTAAATGAAATATAATTAATATTTAAATTGATTTATGCCTCTTAAATTCTCTTTTAAAATTTGAATATGAACCTTTAAATTAACAAGTTCTTAAGATTAATTTTATTGAATTCAATTATAATTAAATTTTTTTCTTAAACTTTATTATTCCCGAAATAACACAAACTTAAAGTTGTTGATGGATTCTATGCGAAATTCAAATCAGGTAAAATTCATGATTATTATGCTTTCAACATTTTCGATTATTTATTAATCGATATTGAAATCAATTATAAAAAAAATATTCGATTAATTGTCATCGATTATTCTTAACCTAACAATAAATTTGAATTAATAAATTTAGTAAAAAATTATAGACAATTCACCAAGCTATAACACTAAAACCATAAATATTAAACAAAATATTTTTTAATTTTAAATTTCAATAATTTATTATAGATTATGTAAATTTCATTCTATTTATTTATGTTTTTACATTAATAGATACTTTATTATTACATTTTACATTTTTATAAATATCAGCTGGAAGGATAAATTCGAGTATTACGTTTTTTTGATGCCTATATTTTCAAAAAACTTTCATTATTACATTCGGCCAATGATTTTTGTTTTTTGAGAACCTGGAATGATTTCAAGAAAAATAGAATTAATTCTGATTATAAATGAAAGAAAATTCAATATAATTCAACAATTTAAATTCTCAAAATTACCGCAAAACTATTATTTTAAAATAATTAATTACCAAAAAAACTAATGTAATAATTATGATCGATAATATGATGGCAGCTCCCACTAATAATCCAATAATTAATAAATAATTATTATTTTTATAATCAGTTTGTAATTGAATAGTATCAGATAAATTAATATTGCTTGTATCTAAAAAAACAAATAAAAATCAATTATACAAGTGAGTAAGAAATTATAGTAATTTTATAATTCACCATTCCTTAATGTCAATTTGTATTGTATTTCATTTAAATAACTTGTACTATTACTTAAAATACAGCCGTATATTCCTTCATGTCTTATTTTGGTTACATTATTAATTGTAAAATATGATGATATTTTATTATTATTAATTTTTTCATCATAATATGCTTCAATATCAGAATCATCAGGAAATATCCAGAAGATTTGAAAATCATTATCATCATAATTGGATATATTGAAGGTACATTGAAATTCTATCATTTCTCCTTCTATAGCATTTATGATATTAACTGTAATTTATGATTTCATTATAATAATTATTACATATATATAAATTTATATTTTAAATCCACATGCATAATATTAAAATAATGTAAGTTAAAATTAGCAGTTTTGAGTTAATTAAATTCAAAGATTTAAAGTAATTTATTCTAATTAAAATCGATTATTTTATTAGGATTTTCTTGATATTTGCAAAATTTTAAAATTCATACCAAATTTTCTTCTTTAAATAATTTTAGAAATTTTTTTTTATTCTAAGTAATTCAAATTTTTCTAGTTTATATTATGTATGTATGTATATACGTGGTATTTATATTATTTATGTGTATACGGGTGGTCAGTGACCACGAGTCAGTGACCATGAGTAGACAAAACTTTTGTATATGGGGACAAATTCAAAGTTACCGGAGCTTAAAATCAATATTGACTCATTTTTTTTTTACTTTTTGAAATTTTAAGTATATGTAATTGCATCCCTATGTAAAACTGGCCCATTTTTAAATTTGATTTGACCTCGAGAAGAAGGGCTTTCTCGTGAATATTATACATTATTTACAATCTGTTCAGATATCAGAATTACATTTATTTATTTATTTATTTATTTATTTAGTATCAATTCACAAATATACATATAACATCTTAAGATTAAGGCAATACAACTATTTATTTTATAACTATGTATGCAAATTGATGATAAACTATACAGTAGTGTAAATAAACACTAGTGATGTATAGTATTATGCACCGATACTACCACATATTACTTATTATTAATACATGATTTTAAAGTTCGAAAAATTTGAAATTTTAACTTTTCGTTTTTAAAAAACGTTAATTTTCTGGATGAAGTAACATTGGAGCTTTTTCTAATTTTTGATACCTTATGCTATCTAATCTTGTTTAGGAGTTGTTTTGTACTGCAAATGTTATTTTATATCAAAAGTACAACAGTCGTTCAAATTCGTCTCTTTCTTCTTTTATACAAATATGTTTAACTTAATAACCGAGTTTCACTTAAATTTTTGAATATGTATGTGAATAAGAAGAATTCAAATATTTGTAATATTTTAATTGTGTATTAAACTGCATTAAGCACGAAATTTGTATATTTACATGAATATTTTCAGTAAGTTTTGAATAATCTCAAAAATGGTCCATTTTACTTAATCGGCTCAACATTTTTTATTGTATACATTATTTAAAATAAACTTACCATTACAATGTCCCAAATAAATATTAAATAAAATAATTATTAAAAATCCATAAAAATTTTTATTATACATTTTGCTGAATTTTTCTTTCTTTGGCAATCAAGTCTTCCCTATTGATATCACACGAATCTGTATAAAAAAAAAATTATAATGAATTAAACAATACAAAATATAAAATAGGATATTTAGAAAGAATTTTTAATATAAAAATTTAGTTAGTTTTTTATTGTATAAATAGGTTTAATTCAAATTCTCGTAATAACGCAATGTTAAAAAAAAAAATACAACGCCTGAATGTATGCAAAATTTGAGATCTACAAAATATGATCAATTTTCTTTACAATTCATTTCAAATTCATTGAAATAAGTTTTTATTAATTAATTAATTATTTAAAATTTTCAATAATTTTAATATAATTGTAACTAGAGTGAAATTTTTGCTATATATTTAATTTGTATATCACAATAGCTGGTATTAATAATTTATTATATTTTTTATATAATCTTATTAATGCTAGTATACTATGTAAATATTATTTGAATATTATTACTTTAATTGAAAAGTAAGCATAACTTTACCTTTAAAATTTTTTTTTGAAAAAAAAAAAATATTAATTTTAGTATTTTATTAAATAATAATTATTTCTTTAATAATCAACTTGTATATTCAGAAATATTTTTTAACTATAAATTTAAATTTTCACTCATATTTTATACTTCGATAAAATCAACTTAACAACTTCAATGTTCACAATAAACTGAAAAAAACATAGAACTCTTTTTGTTTAAATATCAAGAGAAAAATTGAGAGAGGGGGAAAATATTGAAAATTTCAAATATTTTTTTGTTGTATTTTTCTTGGTATTCTTTTTTTCACTCAATAATTTTATTATTAAGTTGCGATCGTTTGCTTCCCTCAGTGCTGCCAAATAGATTTGTTCAAATTTTTTTTTTTTATCTTTAGTAATCCTTCGAGGTGTTTAATTGAAATTCAATTGGAAAAAGTAGAAAGCTACAATTCTATGATTTCAATTAGAAACAAATCAGGCATCAGAGAAAAGCTAAGTTAATGTATAGTGGCATTTGAAGTTATTGAAGCCATATTCGCATTTAATTAATGCGCCAAGTCAAACTAATTGCGGCGACGAATATCAAAAATTTTCTGTCGTGGAAGTAACGTTATCGTGCATTTCCTTTTATTTAAATTAACATTTGGGTCAAAATGTTTTTTGTTTTGAACTTTGAATTCCAATTCTAAAAAACTTTAGTAGCATTAAAAAACCTAAATTTTAAAGATATTTTTGTATATAAAATTTAAGAATTTTTAAATATATTATTTTGAAAGTTTTGTACAAAAAATTTTGAAGATATAGCTGTTAAAATTTAAATTTTTTTAGGTACAGTATATTTACCTGGAAAACCGAGTACATCTGCATTCCCGTTACTTATATCCTGAAATCCCTGAAATTATTTCCAACGTTATATGTGAAACAATGTTGCCAATTCTTTCTGGCTGAATTTACAACCTGTAAATCAAAAGTTCCCATTTTTCCCCTTCTGAACCATATTTTTTTCCCACACAATTTCCCTCTAAGAAATTTTTTATTTATATCTATAAATTGCACTAAATAAAATTCGTATTTAATCATTTTTTCAATCGCATAACTTAACTTAATCGCATAACTTAATTATAACTTAAACAGGTACTTTCAAATTATAATATAAATAACAGTATATCAGTTTAAGAGCTTCGAAATAAATAATAGGGCTAATATCAAGTGTTAAAAATGCATTTGGTCATAAATAAAACAGAAAATTAAAATAAGTAAATTAGAGAAAATAAAATTTCAGTGGAATTTCTCAAGATTTTTTGCCTTCTTCACTTCAAAATTCCGTCAAAATGGGAAATTTTCCCACGATTTGGCAATACTGATTCTTAGAACAATAATTTTATACATAAAATATAATAAGAGAAAATAAATTTCACGGTAAAAAAGAGAATTCTTAAAAAACATAAAAATAAAACAACCGCTTGTAACTAAGAGTAAAAAAAAGATTTATGATTTTGAACTTATATTACGCTTCTATATATACTATGTATATATTCTCTCATATTTTAGTATATATGTACATACATAGATATAGAAGGTGTCTACTAAACTTAATCTTCATTTTTTCTCTTATTTTTTTTAATGTCCCGCTTCGATAATTCTGCTCATGTGTGGTAAATAATGGGAGGTGGTTTAGTAATAAATGCACATTATATTAATATTATTTATATAAAACCCGGTGTTTTTGATGTAAAAGTATATTTGAATATGTGTGTATGTATTTTTTCATTTATGTTTTAGCACTTTGTTATTTGTGTTATATACCCACTTGTTTTTCAATTTTTTTTTTTTAATTGGGTATTCAAGATTTGATAAATTAAAATTATTATTTTTTTTAATAATAATTATACATACTTAATTTACATATTTGCTTAGGATCGAATTCTAAGTTAATTTTTGGGTTCATTGACCCTTTGTCAATTTTAACTTTATATATGTATTTTAAATTATACCTCTATTCATGGTTGTGATAGGTGGCAAACATATTGGTTTTAATTACTTCAGGACATTAATTAATTAGCGCATTATAAGACAACGACCGATGAACATACATACATAAATGATAAGAGACTTGTGAATATTTTATGCAAAAATCTCGTGTGAATAATCCTATATAAAAGTAGCTTTATTAAAATTGATTGTAGGTACCATTTAATACTATTTCTTGTTATTTAATTAAAAAATGAATTGAATTACATCATCCAAAAGTCAATGTTTTATATTTAGTACTTAATTAAAATAGAACTGGCATAATTTTTTTTTGCGTTTTGTGAATGCAAAAACATAAAAAAAATTTTGTTTTCGGAGAAAAATCAAAATAAAAAGAAAATAATAATCAAAAAGCTTAAAGAAATCTTAAATTGAACTACATAGCATTGTTTATTTATGCATGTATGTATGTATATAATGTGCGCAAATATATTTTTATTTCAATATTTAAAACGATTATTATAATATGTATGTTTGTCTTAATTAATATAATTATATAGAATTCGTATAATATACGGATTATACAAGAATGGATACAAAGTTTAACTCGAGATTGTTATTAAGACTATTACGTGTCAAATTATAAGTTGAATACTTAAATTCGGTAAAAGATGCTCCAAGTAAACTTTTGCATTGTTTTTGTGCTCAAAATGATTGACATTTTTATGCGGGGAGATCGTTTTATCTACAAGTTCACATTTCTTGGAATTATTATTTTTGGTTATTATTGTTGGTAATTTAAATGATTTTCGAATATATTTGTTCTACAAACATGATTCAGAGAACTTTTTATAGATAAATAAAAATTGATAAAAATTTAGAATTGAAAAGTGTGGAAAGTTTATTTCAATTCTATTGTAGATTTGTTTTTCAAGATTTTGCTCTCGTTGTCAATTCAATTGCCACTTTGATCCCTTGATCTATGATGTGGCAAATATTTTACACATAATTTATATGTTACTCAATTTTAAATTCCAGATAAAAAAAAGGAAAAATAATTTGTCTATTTGAAGTGACAAATATTTCGAATATTTTAAACATAAAAGTAAATGGTAAAATATTTTTATCTCTTTGATTTATTTTATTAATTCGGTTTATATTAATTAATTTTTGTTTAAGCGCTATAGAGTTCATGTTAATACTATTTTTAATGGCAAAATATTTTATAGTTTATTCAGAAGAAGAAATAACACGGTTTTCTTTTATTAGTCGTTGGGGGTCACTTTTTATATGGGGTGCACTGCACCCCAATTAGCATCAATATGCCGTTTTACTACTATTAACCCTTGACCAACAGGCCGTCATTGAGCGTACGATGGCAGGTGGCCTATTTCCAATGTCAAATTCCGATATCTCGTCCAAGCTGGTGCAACTTGTTGCTCCACATGATCAGTCTGGCTCATATCAGTCTGGCACCCAGAGTCATTTTATGTATAATGTTTATATATATTCATTTTCACTGTGTTGATGGGAACAAAAATCCGCTCCGGAAATGTCTATGGTTGCGCAATACTAGCCGCCCGCCAGCTAGTGTTTTTTTAGCACCTTTTTCTGGTGCTAAAAAAACGTGGGATAAGGGGTGGAATATTTGCATTTTATTAAATTTAAATTAAAATTTTATTTTGAAATCTGCTTACCATATAATTTTGGTTTAAAAACAAATTTAAAAAATACTAAACAACAAATAATTTCACAAAAAGAATTTTTTCCTAGAAAGGTAAGTGTTTGAACTTTTTGTCATAAATTCAAGATATTAATTTATGCGATTATTTTGATTGTAATGGCCGATTACATAATTTTTTTTTTATTTTTCTTATACTACGTATTTTGGGCAGTATATTGACGTTCTATATTTGTTTTCTTGCTACTATATTTTCAGTAAAATTTAATTTAAAGAATTGCTGTTTTACAGAAGTAGTGTTACTATGAGGAAGATCACAAAAAAAAAACTAGCATAAAATCAGACAATTTCTCTAAAATTGTATTTTTGTTTTCTTAATTTGAAAGTTTTTCATACTTATACTGGAATAAAAATGTTTATAATTTATAATCTCTGAGTTATCTGAACATTGTAGATTCGAACAATAGAATATCTACCTTATACATACATACATATGCGTATATTTAGTTCCCAGGAAAGAAACAATTTTACATTTAATTTAAATCGAATTTAGACTGTCTAGTCTATTTAATTTGCAACACTATACGTACAAATCTGTATATGTATATATATTATGATAAATTTATTGTCAATAAATAAAAATGACTTTAATCGATTTTTAACTAGAAAAATTTTCATTTTTATTTAAAAAAAAAAAAAATACATACTTAAGCATAATGTCGAAGCAATTAAAAAACTATTTCATTCTGATTCATTTGTTTATTAAGCGTTAATACACATATACACATGTACAACTATTTATTAATTATATTTTTTATTAAATTGTACCAAATTCACAATATTCGTAACAAATTAAATTACCAGTCGCTTATTATTTATTTTTTAAATAAATATAAAATAAAACAAAAAAATTTGC